TGTAAGACTCAGATCTACGTTCGGTCTCTAATCGACAGCCGTTCTTCAAATCGACGTCCAAAGCTGACGTCATAATAACATACAATTTCAAATCGATGGCCAATTGTATGCCCCTCTAATCTTTTCATTTTGTTTACATTTAAATAAGAAATGAGTTTCATCATCTATTTTATTCAAAGCACAATGTTGACATAAACGTTCTTCTCTTTTTTATGTTTCTGCACCTCACCCTTTCAATTTCTAAAATATGGTCACTTACCCTTAATTTAGTAAAGCTTTTCCTGGTTTCAATGCTATTTTCCTTAAGTAAATATTGTTCAATTTCATAATTCCTTTTAAATTTACTATAAATGTATAATTTATTATTATCCGTTTGAGAGTTTGATTTCTTAAAGAACAACTATAAGAATAATATTTTCCAACAACTGCCTGTGCGTTAACTTGTTTTGGACATTGATGAGCGAAAGCTGTGATCGATCGGATGTCGTTTTGGAAATGTATGAAGTCACATTGGACATCGATTGATGGGTAAAAATATAGGAAACTGATTTTAGAACCTGACTTTACATTGGACGTCGATTTGAGGAACAGACGTTAATTAGAAACTGAACGTCGATCTGAGTCTATATATAAAACATTCAGATAGTAGTCAACAATCATTCTTAAGAGGGTGTCAGATCACTATGGTGTAAAATGGCGTCACTAGCTATAATAATTTTCAAAAATATTGACCATCATACAAATTAAGCACCGATTTTTTTAAAATCATCATAACAAGTGACATTTTACACCAGGCTGCTTGTACTGAAGAAGAATATTTGTTATCCGAAATATTTTTCTAATTTTGTATCTTTTGTTTAGCATTTGTTTTTATCATTGTTTTGGTGTTGTTGTAAATTTTTTTAAAAGTATATATATATATATATAACACTGTATAAGTCTGAACATTAAACTCAATATATAAATATATAAATATAAATAAACACACCTATTTTGGTGGAGAGTTTACTGCTTAGCCAAGAAATACAAACGCAATAACACAGACAGAAGCAAACTTTGAGCAAAATACCAATGACGCCGAAGACAAACTTTACATGAAGAAATCAAAACTCATTTGTGTTTTTATATTTGATAATCTACACGTTCTCTACGCTACTGAACTAGGTAGTCTAGTTGACGAGTGGACGGACAGCGGATATTAGATCAAATAAGTTACTAACGTAACTGTCATTTTAATCATTTCAAGAATAAATAAGATTGGAACTATATCATTTTTCTAAAAATAGTTTATTCCAGAAATACATTATGTGCAGCACGGTGTAAATCAGTTCTTATAGTTTATGTTTTATGCACGGTGTAGATCAAATCATTTAGTTTATGTTTTATGCACGGTGTAGATAAATTCATGTATTTTGTATTTTATGAACGGTGTAGACCAGTTCGTGTAGTTTATACGAGTTTTTATTCATGTTGTAGATCAATTCGTGGTGTATGCACGGTGTAAATCAATTCATTTAGTTTGTTATATGCACAGTGTTGACCATTTCGTGTAGTTTATGAGTTTTTAATCATGATGTAGATCAATTCATGTAGTTCGTGTTTTATGCACGGTATAGATGAATTCATGTAGTTTGTATTTTAAGAACGTTGTAGATCAGTTCGTGTAGTTTATAACAGTTTTTATTCATGTTGTTGATCAATTCGTGTAGTTTGTGGTCTTTGTACGGTGTTGATTAATTAATGTAGTTTATGCACGACGTAGATCAATTTCATGTAATTTATAAAAACTTAATTTTGGATATAACACGTCTTCTGATTGGCGGAAAGGTTTTTGTCTATCAGCTCATTGACATAATTTTGTCATGTGACCGTGACGTCATCAACGTTTTTTCATGATTTACTCCTAAAATATGGAATTTAGAATTAAATTGTAAGGAATGACTGTAATATTTTTTCTGTCTATTCGAAATAACCTCACAAATGTGGTGCACACTTTTAAATAACCCGATACGCGGGTTATTCAGTGTGCATCACAGTTTTGATGTTACTTCTTTATAGACAGAAAAAATATTACAGTATATGCACGGTGTTGATCCTTTCGTGTAGTTAATGACAGATTTTATGCTTAATGTTGATCAATTCATTAAATATTAGTCACCTCTAGATAGTAAAATGTATATATATTGCTTTTAAAACAAGCTTTTGAAAAATCTAAAGCCCGCACATTTAGTTGATGGTTTCTTTCGCCTTAACTAATTATCTTATATTTTTTGACAACGGACACATTCATGTGCTATCAACAGTTTCGTATAATATAGAGATTTAAAAAAAAAAGAAAAAAAAGAAGGAGGGAAACCTCTGTAATTTACATAATTGGTGACAAAGTTTCGTGCTTTTTGTATTTAGTAGCAAGAATTATTTCCTTAGCTTTCAATCAAAACATGTTGAAGTATCAAAAATATTTTAAAGTTTAAAAAAGTATAATATATATACTTGGGTTAAGGGTAGACAACAATGTAAACTTCCTTTTTTGATGGTAAAAATTGAAAACTTCTTTGAAGCTACTGTTGCTCTATCCGGCGAATGTAACCTGTAGTGAAACTTTTCAAAAAACAAGGTAAAATGTCATAAGTTCTTTCAGTTTTGATTATCCAAAATGTGTTTGTTTCATGCTTACATGGGTATACATATGACCTGATTTCAGGGTTTTCATGTAGGGACAGAACAATTTTGTATTCATTTTTTTTATTATGTTGAATTCACACTTTATTTTCATTTCTATATAAACGTAAAAGATTTCTGATTCCATCGATATCTAGATTTATACTAGAATTCAATAAACAAACCACCACTAACGGGTCGATGCATGGCCACTGAAAATAAGACGTCATACAAAAAAAAACAACTGTTGATTGCACATTAGTGAATCCGTGTGTTCTTATGTCAAACAAATAAATCAGCATGACATGTGTTTTTGTTTCTTCGGGATTATGTACATACACCTTCATATCTAGCATTTTATTTTGTGTTTATTATTTTTTTTAGGGATGAGTACATCATCTGTTCTATTTTCAAAGTATGGGACACTATTAAGATAAATGTCACTATATGCTGGGAAAGAAATTTCTTTATGATCGGGACATTATAAATGATTTCTTTTTCTAATTTTGAAAACTAAAATCTATGCAGTGTTAACACCGTTTTCCAAATTTTCTAAAAAAATATGTATGTTGAAAAGTAAACAAACAATTTCAAATTTCATGCTATCTAAAAGCCCATTTGATGTCTTTATACATCATTTTTCAAAAGCTCTATACATATAAATGTCAGGACAAGAATGGAAATGTAAAATGTTAATTGACAGGAGGTAACAATTATTTTTTCTTTCTGTATACTTATAAGTTGCGAATTACTTGTGTTGTTGTTGTCGTCGTTAAGGTTCATGTTTACCTTTTGTCTAAAATGGTTGATTTTTCACTTCAAAATTTACTCTGATTATAGACAAACCTGAATATCTCGAAAAATTTTAAGCCTTGGCATGCTCTAGATAAATAAAATTCAAATACAATTTCTCTTTTAGAAAATTAAAAACATAACTTGATTTTGCAGTGCACTTTTTTTCAATTCTCCAGAAGGTGCCAAAATAAACAAAGTTAGGAAAAAGTTTGAGAACTTCCCTACAGTTAGTTATTGTGAACTGTATTAATTGACATGAACAATAGATGGACAATAGATACCTGACAATAATTGGTGATTTAAACTGATTGGCCGTATCAAGTGAAACTTAACTGTTTGTGTTATCTTTTGCAGGGACAAAAAAAAAGTGAACAGCAAAATCAAGTGAAGTTTAAAATTTTTTAAAACAAAGAATGCATTTTATTTATCTTGGGCATCTATGTCTTAAAACTTTTCTAGATGCACATGTTAGTCTGTGCTCAGAGTAAATTTTCGGGTGAAAACTCGGGCATTTTAGCCAAAGGGTCCACAAAAACCTTAATCATAGAAGAACTAACCGAAGAATTCAAATATAGAAAAATATTCAACAATTGACCGAATAACACACTAATTCACTAATTTAGTTAATTATCAGTGCTATTCGGTCAGAAGTTGAATATTTTTCTATATTTTAATTCTTTGAATAGGTAGATATTCTTTTTATTACATTGACAAGACAATGTTTTTTTTTAATGGAAATGAAGTTAAAAAATGCATAGAACTATATATATTTCTACGCATTCACAATTTGTCTTGACGTAACGTCATCGATAACGTCATGACAACATATATTGTTGTATGACGTCAGAGGAGTGAAATAATCGAGTTTATTTCATATGTGGAATTATCGGTTTTTATTTCACGGGAAATATATATGCATGTTCCTTTTATTTAAATTGTTTGTAAGAATATTTCAAGATTATGCTGGTATGTATCGTGTTTGTTTTTTCATTTGTTGTTTTGTGCGTTTGTCATGTCGTTGGTTTTCTCGTTTGAATAGTTTTACATGGCAAATTTATTTTAATTAACAAATCTGTCTGATAAAATATTTTATTATCTCTTTCAAGAGCAGTAGATAAAAATTAACAGTAGGTACTTTCACTTTCACGAAATCTGAATTTCACCCTCTTGTAGATTTAAATTTCCTTTTTTATACTTTGTTGAAAAATAAACTGGAAATGTTTTTCGGTATCGTATGCCCTTAAAATGTTTGTATACTAGTATGCATTCCTACACGGTAATGAAATATGACATCGCTAAAAATTCTTTCCAACGTGAATTGATTTTTCAAACACTTATCTTTATAATTCATTATATCGGTACTAACAGCACGTTTTTCATAAAAGAAGAGACAGGGTGTACTTCATTGTGACAGCAACATACCAACACACTTCCACAAACATGTTAGGGTTAAACAAGTTTGAAGTACTCAATTTTTCTCTATATTTTGAAATCCTTTCCCCTCTTCTTTAAATACTGTAGCTAATATATAATGTGTGACTCACCAGCTAGGAACAATACTAGAACTAGGATAAGAAAAACCTTCTGCATGTTTCAGAATTAGAAAAACTTGAAAATCTAAATGAAAAAAAAGCCAATTAGTTCTAGTTCAAGATGTTTTCTTTTTATCTTTATATACTTTTTCCTTTCTTTTCAATTTGTTATAAAGAGTTTATCAAATTCGGTTTCTTATCATGTCAAAGTAACTAGAATTAAAGATTTATTATTTACCTTGTCCTGGATATGAAGTGAACAACAATCAATCATTATATCATAATATTTCCTATTTACCACAATGCACTACTTATGCAATTGATGCTCTTAAAGAAAAAAAACTTGTCATTTCAGTTTCGGGGGAGAAAATTGTAAGGCAATATTATTTTTTTCAGGACGTTAGAAAGGAAAATATGAGGCTACAAATATGTAAAACTGTTTAATGAAGGTTGGCAAATTTATAGCAACTTATTTTGGATTGGAATACAAAAGAGGGACAAAAGATATCAGAGGGACAGTAAAATTCAAAGATCGAAAACAAACTGACAACGCCATATCCAAAAATAAAAAGACAAACAGACAAATAATAGTACAGATGACACAACATAGAAAACTAATGACTAAGCAACACGAACCCCACCAAAAACTGGAGGTGAAAGCTGAATCAAGTTTGAAATGCAACATTACAGCTGACATGTAATTTACGCTAATGCACATAAATCGTTTTTTTTTTTAAGTAAAACCAATTTTACTATTCAATTGTGTAAACTACCAGTTTAAGAAAATTTCAAAGTTGTCAGCAAATGCCAATTAAAGTCAAAAACTCAAATTTTAGGCTTATGAATGCCAAAAGTAATAGAGTTACAGATTAATATTCGGAATCGATAGTTAATATATATTACATTTGAGGTCACAAAGGTGTGCTGATGTTCTAAAATCCATGAAGAAAATTCGAATCAGGGTATAAACAGGCTGCGTCGATAGTGTCAGCGTCTCCTTCTTTGAATGCATCATCTGCCAAGCAAATCCACACTCTGTCAAAGTGTTACAACTGGACATTTATTGATCAGACATTATATCTTGTATCTAAAGATCTACGAACGCGAGAACATGTTGATAGCAAGTTTAGACACAGACATAGCATATCGACCAATCATTTTGTGAAGGTTATCGTAAAACGTATGTAGTGGTAATTGTTGTGTCAAGAGAACATCCTTGTTATTGAAGTCCGCATAGTGTGAACCTGCACGAGAGGAACGTATCAATTGAGATATGTAAACTCCATACGATTGAGAAGATGTAATGTTATTTTTGAGAAATGGTAAGTTGACAATTGGAAAGTTGAAATCACTAAGTTTATCACATATTCTAGTTTGAATACGTTGATATGCGCCAATATCGATGGAAATATCAAGATATGACACAGACTAGCTTCTGTAGTAACTTTGTTCTCAAGTTCAAATGGCATATATGAAATGCAAACACTCACTGGAATGTGGGCAATAACGTGACAGAGCATGATCAATATATCTAAAAGTAAAAAAAAAGAACTTTGCAAGATGCTCTTGTTTTGGTCTTTGAGAATGTTATGTATGCATTCTGCTTCATATGAGTTAAAAAATCGACCACACAATTAGTACCAATTGTATTACGGACTGTCTGTTGAAATACCAATCAAGGTCTAAAATGTTGTCGATCAAAAATTTCAGCATTTTGATGGTATCATCTTCGTTGTATATGAAGTTGGATTCAGTGTGTTTCTTCACTTACTAAGATTTTTTATGACCTTAAACAGAGAAATTTGTATCAATTTTTATACAAAAATCTCTGTGTAATAAGACGGTAGATATGGTAATTATCTACATTAGAAACACTTTTTTGTAAGTCTCAATTAGAAATTCCGAGCTAAAATTTTGAAATTCAAATATACAGAATTATATAAAAAGACGAAAGAGATCAAGAGGGATCATTAACGCATTACACACAATGACTAAAAAATAATGCTTTGAAGCTTGTCAGAAAATCATAGCCAGCAAACACTACAATTAATAATTGAAATTATTTCTATACAGAAGTTCCACTAATATTGACTCTGCCTGATAGTTGTAACAGTAAATGTATATTCATATATACTGCTAGCTATAAAACCAGGTTTAATACATAATTTTAAACATAAGGAAATGCATGTACCAAGTCAGGAATATGACAGGTGTTTTCCATCTGTTTCATGTGTTAGAACTTTTGATTTTGCCGTTTGATAAGGAAATTTTCGTTTTGAATTTTCCTTGGAGTTGTATATGTTTGTTATAAAACTTTTTACCATTTATTGATAAATTAAAGTTCATCAAATATTACATCTGTACCTTGTTTTTGGTTGGGTTCGTGCTGCTCAATCTTCTGTTTTCAATGTTGTGTTTTGTAGACTGTTGTAGTATTTTGGTCGTTTTTCGTTTTTCCCCATGGAGTTTTCGGTTTATTTTTGATTGATGAGATTGAATATCGCTTTCGTATCTTCCGCCTTTTGTAAATATTTCATTTCTGACTCAGTGAAGTAGATAATGCACTTTTCTAAGATTTTTCTCGTATTTCATATTTTTTATTAAATTATTTTAATGAAATAGCATATACATGAAACCATTGCTTGCAGACAGTAATACAGTATGACAGATCGGTCATACTTAAATTTTAATATTTCTTTTAGATGTAATGTTTTTGGAGTAACCTATATATCCTGCATCATTAAACAAAACATGACGCAATGCAGAATGTCTTACGATCATTGTTAAAGTGTTTGCTTTTCCAACTTTTTCCTCGTTGTAATTGACTAAAATTAAGTTCAGATTGCATATCCATAAACGGATATGTTTAGGAATGAATGCAAATTACGATGATTACACATTATTTGAAAGTGTAGGTCTTACCCTAACTAGCAAAAATGATTTCCATCTAGCAAACGGAAACTAAAGACCAGTTTAGTTATAACACTTTTTATCAATAGAAATAAAGAATGTTTTAAATGATGATGTTTTTCATTAAATGAACTATTAAATAAGGGCGTTAATGTAACATTTCATATAAAATTCTGCCTATGGTTTGAAAAGATAAGTTTCCACAGATATATTTGCTCAGCAACAGATATTTGTTCTTTATTATATATATCAAAAGATATAATAAACAAACAAACAATAAACACAAGAACAACACAAGAAAAAGCATAAGACTTACCTTTTAAAGGACTTGGTTATGATAATTTAATTTCAGCAACCGCATTTTCCTTTTTATACCTAGAAGTAATTAGATAATGTTTTTTTCCTTGAAACATGTTTTGCATTTTTTGATTTAAAGGATTGAGTTTTTCTTCCTTTTTGTTTTAAGCAGTTTGTACTAATCGTTGTATCAAAAGTTTGCTATTCTCCTGTGTTGTATGAAATTAATAAAACCTTAAAGAGGATTTCATTTGAACATCTGTGTCAAATGCAGATTCGTAATACAATGGGATCAGAATATATAACAGTATTAATTATGATATAATATATGACATATGTATGAATATAAGAAAGTGCAGTGTACCTTGAATGAGATAACATCATAAATTATCTAACTGCAGTCATCTAGGGATAATTTGTATGTCACTGAAGGACAAATGTCCAATCTATATTGCAGGCGCTAAATACTAGAGCCAGGAAAGTTAAAAACCAATTAATACCATTAAATTAAATTAGCAAAGTTCACTCTGATTTTTAGTGGTGTAAGTGTTGCTCAAAGTTAAGTTTTGAGTTTTGTTGAGTATTCTACACCATTTTCTTTTGACAATCGTTTTTCCCTTTATATCTTTAAATTATGATTTCTTATTTTTCATTTGTGTGTTTTTCCATATTTACAACAAGCGCAAGCAAGATAGAAGTTTAAAGGTTGAGGCGTTGAAAGGTAAAAAAAACTATTTTAACAACTCAACATGTTCCTGTGCCTGTCCATAGCTAGTAACATTGGCTATTTTTAGTTATATTTCAATATGTTTGTGCCTTAATGACAGATTTATTGTTAGTTTCTATAAATTAATTAACAACCTTTTCAGATTGGAAACGATTTGGAGGATGATAAGAAAATCTTTTAAAAAGCACCGGAAAGCGTTAAGTGTACCTGATTCTAGTATATTTGTTGGTGAATTGATTTGTTAATTAAGCTTTAAGTTTATGGTGCAAAAAAGAATCAAATTTTCTTTTGTGTTTCAAAATTTTTTTCTATATGCTATATTCTGTTTGATGTAGTAGCATGACTTCCACCGTCTTTTGCCTGAAAGGTCCATTTCACTGTGCGGAATTTATCGTGTAATGATATTGTAACTATTATGGTTATTTACCTTGGTCGATTTTGTTTTGTGTGGCCTTATAAGATGTTTATATACTTTGGTTGTGACCTGTTTATAGTTGTTTACAAAATAATGTTCTTATGTTGTACTGTTGCACCACTGTCCCAGGTTATGGGAGGGTTGGCGCTTTCAAACTAGTTTAACCCCGCCTTATTTTGTATGTGCCTGTCCCAAGTCAGGAGCCTTTAATTCAGTCTTTGTCGATTGTTAATGTGTTACATATTTGTTTTTCGTTCATTATTTTGTACATAAATTAGGCCATTAGTTTTCTCGTTTGAATTGATTTATATTTGTCATTCGGGGCCTTTTATAGCTGACTATGCGGTTTTGGCTTTGCTGAAGGCCCTACGGTGACCTATAGTTGTTAATTTTTGTGTCATTTGGTCTCTTGTAGAGTGTTGTCTAAGTTGCAATCATACCACTTCTTCTTTATATTTATTGTGTAGTTTGGAAATCATTGGAACAATCGTGGAATGATTAGAGCTTTCTATTTGACTTGCATAATAATTCCAGAATGGTCATAATCTACGATGCGTAATTTAAATTTCTGTAATGTTCTAGAAGTTTCCCTTCTACAGTTTTCTAGAAGTTTCTCTTTCATATTGATCTAGAAGTTCCGTGATAACTATATATATAGACACCAAATATAGACTTATTCAGAAATATTCTTGTATTCCCA